AAGTTTAATTCTACTATAATATTATTATAATTAATTTATATATTTTCTTTAAAAAATTTAAATTTATAAAATTTATATAATTTTTTTTATAAAATTGAAAAGGTAAAAAGGTTTAATGGGTAAAACTTTATTTTAACCCTTGAATTTGATATAAAATTATAATTACGGATTTTTTTGTAAATCTAAAATAGTTTAAAAATAAATTTATAATTTAACCTTCGTAGAATTTTTATTATTCAACGACAGAAGAAGGATAATTTTGAAAGAAATTAAAGACATTTTATTTCAAAACGCTAATCCAACAATACCTAGAGGAAGAGTGTAATTACATTCCTAGCAATATATTCTTAAAAATCCACTATTAATAATAAAAAATTATCAAGAATAATATTATAGGTCAATAAAACGGAAGAATGATGATTTCATTCTCAGATGCCATGAACCAAACGGCTGCTAAAGGTTGACACGACTTATTTAATTATTTGTGTTCTGTCACTCGTATGAAAACAGGAAGGGAAGCAGAAAAAAATTAAAAGAAATGTTCTTTTTTATTTGTCCAATGTGTTTGGAGTATTAGAAGTTTATTATCAGGAATTTAAAATTATATATTTTAATTGGGTTAATGTATTTATATGGAGGTCATTTTTAGATATAAAATCTATTTACATAATGTTTACAGAATCAATTATTTTCCTTTATTGTTTTTTTGGTCGTGTTACAATTCCTAATATTTTTTTGGTTGCATTTAATTTTAAGATTTCGTCTTGACTAATCTTATCTAACCCGGGTCGCATACCTAGTTTTGGTGGATGATTCTCTTAACAGAGATTTTCTACGTATACAATGACTCGAACCTGAGACATTTCTTAAGCGATGTCAAGTTGCTTACCAATTGAACTAATCCCGTTAATACAATTACTCAATATTAATTGCCATAATTTAATATATTAATTTTAAAAAATATTGTTTTATTTTAAGATAAATTATACATAGGATCATTTAATTAAGGGATTTAGATTTGATTAATGACATTTCAATTTCATCAATAAGATTATTTAATTATTTATTTAAATGATATCAATCAAATTATTCATCATTAATATTTAATGAATTAATGTAATAGTTAATAAAATTTATCTAATTGCATATTTAATTATTATTTTTTATACATTATATCAATTTGATTATTTTTTAAATGAAAGTTTAGGCACAATCTAATCACCTTATTAAATCTTACATAGGTAATGTTGATTATATTTATATTACAATTAATATAAAAATATAAGTGACTAATATATAATAATATAAATAACATTTAAAACTTAATAATATTAATAAAATAAAATAAATTAAAAGAATTAACTCGCATAATAATATTTTACCTAAATATCCTAAGTTAAAACAATAATAAATTAATTAGTAATAATAATATATAAATAATACTTTAAATAAAAGCGGAGGCGGGCTTTCGTGATAATGCCCCTCCACTCTTCCCTCGAGATATTTATGAAAGAAAAAGATTGTAATAAAAAAATATTAGGCTTAAATGTAAAAAATATGTCCAACGTATGTCTTTTTTTTAGTTTGATGCTTAATATTTGTTTTAATTTGATATCTAATATTTTATTCTATAATTCAGTTTGTGTCTAGCCGTAAAGAAACGTTAATTTTGGTCGTTAAATATCACCTGATATTTATTTAATATTAAAAAAGGAATTTTATAATTATAATATTAATTAATTAATTAATTCCCTCTCTTCCCCGTCACTCTACAACATCCCTCCATGGCTCAACTTCCCCGACTGTTATTTCTCCTTTTCATACTCCAATACTCTACGATTGAACCCCGAAACCTCCATAAACAATAAACCATTTTATTGCAGTAATCCTGAAACCTTTTCATACACACAAAGCTTTGATGGTCTAGTTACGAGTTGTCAGTTTGACCATGATCAGTTTGTCGACGACACAACCATGATTACCAGAAATGATGTGCGGCCATAACTGGTCAGTTCGACCTCTCACACATGAGCCCCGACGATGAGAACGAATTAAACAGCCAGCGGTAGCGTAGCAAGAATAACAACAACCCACATGTGTGAAACCGGTGTTGTCGAACGATGGTAGTAGCACCACAACAAGAGAAAACACATCGGTTTAACTCTTCCTTACAAAGCCACAGACGAACGGCCACAAGGTCAAAGTATGGCAGCATCGTAACTCACGATTTTATTACCGAGGAAAAAGTGAACAATGATCGAACGACCAAACGAGGGGAGATCGCAACGTGGGAACAACGGGCGATAGATGGCTTCACCGATAATGAACCACGACGTGAACGAAGTTAACCCTTAACAGAGATGACCCTTTTAAAAGATGTGAACGATGCACGATGGAAAAAAAAAACAAAAAATGGTTTCACCAATGATAAACAATTGTTACTCCATTAATGAACTTTAGTGCCTCTTTAGTGGAGTTTAAGCTCTTCTTCCATGCTAATAAAGCTTAGCCTTGGTCATCAATTGAGTTAAAAGCTTCACCGGTGATGAACCATTGTTACTCCAAGGCTTCTCATGGACGTCCAATTATCAACCGGATTTTAACCCCCGACGAATACTGGATCGATTGTATGAGAAGAGAATGAAGGGGAAGAGAAGGAAGAGGAGAAACAAAGGGAAGATGAGAGGGAAAATCATTTTTTGTTCTGGTTTGGGGGAAGATGAGAAGATGGGAGCGAAAAGAAGAAAGAGATGGAAAAATAATTTTTATATTATACCTATGACTGGTGGCATTTAATGCCCAAAATTAATGACCCGTCATGGTCTAACCCAAAATGAATTATGGAATAAAACTTAAACACCAAATTAAAACGAAAAAAAAAATATTAAACACCAAAAGTGAAAAAAATGCAGGTAACCTTTTAACGTTTAAGCTAAAATATTATTAAAAAGAACATAGTTGTCAACCAATCCAACAACACCTACCCCACCATTTATTGTTGTCTTCTTATCTTTATATTCTTCTCCACCTTCTTTGTCTTTTTATGTAATGATTTCAGTCTTTTTTTTTCTTTCTTAATGAAAGGAGTATAGATGATAATATACAAAAGACAGATATAAGATTTTATGTTAATTGTGAATTTGAATTTATAAAGTTTTAGGGGATGAAAATAAATTTCAATAAAAATATATAGATAAAATCTAAAATATATTGTAATTTTAAATTTTTAGAGGACGATTGTGTTAGACATGCTTTCACAGAATGTAAAACATGCTTTCACATATTGAGCATAAATGCAATGAAATAGAGATCGGTATAAATACCTCCAACCATTGCTTAACACTTAAGTTGAAATATGGGATTTGATTACACCACTATCAATTGCGTCGGATCACCGTGAACCACCACGAACCACCATCGAACACTTTAAACTTGGCTGCACAAAAGCTAGAACCGTAAATGATCTTCTAAGCACTCAAAACCTCACTTAGATGGAATATTTCCAAATGCCTTTAAAAGGAATGCTTTGGAATAAATGAATGAATTATAATTAGAATAAAATATTATAATACATAGCTATACAAAAATTTATAATATATTAAATTATAAATAATAATAAATTTAAATATAATCTACATAATATGAAATAATATTTTAATACATTCAGCATATTGAGATTTGAACATGAGATCTTACCATTCACGAGGTTTTACTATTGGCATTACACGTGGTTGACTCTAACTTTTCTTTTATAAAAATATTTATTTATTTAAATTTATAATTTTTTAACGAAATAAATAAAGATATAAAAAGTTGTAATATGTTTCCAAATATAACATTAAAATAATATTCTAAATTCATAATTTGAACCAAAGTTTATTTTGAAGTGGTAATTAATCCAGTCATGTCCCACCTTAACTACACTTAATTAAAGCCAACTGAAATGATGTTTGATGTGACATTCCAATTAGTGTTGTGGCACCTAATTATACTTTTTCTAAAGCTAAACTTTGATGGGAGAAGTAGCAAGTTGATTTAGATTTTAACGTACTAATTATGCTTTTTATTCAACCAGATTTTGCTTAGATTGTGCTTCCTTTCACATTAGAATATCACATGTTCAATAGTCACATTTATAATTTAATTTTTTAAAGATTATTTTCATTTTTTTAAATCAAATTAAGAGTTCTAATCTTAAAGTTATGAATGAAACACATTAAATTAGAATGACATCTCATAATAGACTTCGCATTAACAATGATTGAATAATCCAAAAGAAAAATAATTTATTTACATTCATTACATAGTAGAATTGAAAAAAAATTAAAAATACATATTTTAAACTAACTGTAGTCTATTTCTCATTTTATATTATAAATTGAAGTAATTTGTTTATACATACGATTATCCTCTCTTTTTTTCTACTCACATTTATTTTTTATCAATCCACTCAAAACCTGTCTTTACATATAAACTAAAATTGAAGTTAATTATAAATACAAGTTTATGAGTTGAAATATCATTTAATCCATAAGGTTATATTCTTGGTCAAGTATAAATTATTGTCTATCGAAAACAACTCCAATTAGGTAATTTAGGTTTGTTCCAATGGGTCACCATGTGTAATGGAAATTGATCCGTTTATTAGGGATTATTAAAATCAACTAAAGTGTCATTTTGCCCTCGGTTATCTGACAACGATAACAAAATAGAAATTCCCCAGGTACAGATGATAGTGGAGCAATCTTTTAAAATATTTTTAACTTTTCCTTCTATTTTAAAGAGTACATTATAAGATTCCATCACTTGTTATTTTTATTTAGGTCTTTAAAATTTAAACCTTTTTCCCTTAATTCCTCTATATTTTTTTTTACTTAATGGTACAAAACAATCATAATTTTCCGTTTTTCTTTAAAGAGTTCCGCTCAAAATGACTTCCAAAACATTGTTTGAAGAGTTCCCGGTGCGTATTGGACGAAAAGGCAGACCAAATTCAGATAATATCCAACATTTTAACACATATCTCGTCTACCTACAAGGAAATACCGTAAGTTGAACATCCTGGTCATGCTTGTTTACAAAATACAAACAAAGAAACTCAAAATACGATAAGGCACAAAAGGAGACAACAGAAGAGGAAAATCGAGATTCTATTTAGAGACCGGTCAGCCTGCATCTCCAGCCTTCTCAACCTGGGGCTCCCAATTCCCATCGCCCGATATGAGTTTGGATTAGGGTATAAGCTTTCCGAATTCCCAAACACCCTAGCATATACCATCTCTCCAAACATCCCCACTACCGGATGATGAAAGCCGGTCACGGTGTTGAGGGTCGGCGGTGCGGATAAATCGTCTTGGTGGTAGTCATGGTTATGGTAAGGATTCCGGTAAGTAAGTTGCTGACTATTGGGAGATGTAGGAGGCAGAAGAGGTTTGTTGGCACAAGCCGGAGGTCTAGGGGGAATAACCATGCCCCTATAAAGTGCATGCTTGCCTTGAAGCTGGGTTTCGGATTGGCCTCGACCATAAAGGGGAACCATTGTGGTGTGGGATATATCAGCTTTGCATACCGGGCATGGAGGGTGCTCATCTGGGGCGAGGGAGGGGCTCTGGACATGAAGCCACTTATAGATGCAGGGCCAGCAGTAGAGGTGGCCGCAGTGAGTGACAATCGGCTCATGCGCTACGTCTAAGCATATATTGCAGTCAAAGCTACCGTTAAAATTCTCAGATGTTGGAGCACTGGGGACCGTCTTCCATTCCTGAGCATAATATTGCTCAAAGGCCATGGATTTGTACACTCCGACACTAATGATATCTGAGACAACAAAATTGAAAGAGGATCAGCATCGGAATATGAATTTAGCAACAAATCTAGCAAATAAGGCAACAGTTGAAAACAGAACAATGGCTATAAGTATGGTGCAGTGCACTTCAATAAGAGAATACACGGAAGACGTAGTCGTAGTTGATGACTTGGGGTTTCCAAGTCACATTAATTGAAACCAATTTGCAAATCCAATAAACCCCAAAAGCTCGCTGGTGATGGTGAAAAAAGTTTCGTTTTTTTAAAACAAAAAAAACTGCGTCGTACCCCTTTTTCTAACTTTGCAATTATCAAGTTAGAACTTAGAAACGAAACAGTAAACTCCGAAGAACACAAAAATTATCAGCTTTTCTCAAAATTTGAAGAAAAAGAAATCCTGAGCTAAAATTTATGAGAAGAGGGTAAATAAAAAGAGTCCACTAAGCTTCAATTTAATGGTTGTCTTACCAAATAAAAGAAGAAGAGAAATGGAGGAGGATGAAGGCGAAAGATTTTGAAGAGAGATCTGCTTCATAAAAGGGATGGGAGAGCGCGTGTATAGAGGAGACCGCTTTTTTACAGAGGAATCCCATCCCCACTCTTTCAATGTTTCCTACTTTTTTCTTTTTAGGGTAAATTACCTATTTACTCACTAAACTTTATTTTCTCTCTAATTTCACTCACTATACTTTTAATTTTTTAATTTGCTCTCTAAACTTTAGATATTGAACTTTTTTAGTCATTCGACCGTTTTCTCAGTAGGGTTTCTCATGTGGTTTATTTTAATAATAAAACATGTCACTTAGGAATTATAATTAAAAAGATAAATTACACGTTTTCTCATTAAACTTATTCTCTCTCTCCTATTTTATTCACTATACTTCTAATTTTTTCAATTAATATAGAAACTTCATAAAACCATTATAAGTTTAACGTTCGAGTGACCAAAAAAGTTCAATATCTAAAGTTGAGTGAGAAAATTGAAAATTTTAAAAATATGGTGAGTGAAATAGAAGATATGTAAAGTTTAGCGAGAAAACATGTAATTTACCCTTATTTTTAATAATACTATAATTTTCTTCAATTTGCTAGAAAAATACAAACTCTGGTGGTTCGCCTGTCTGGGCCAAACGAAGTGAAATCATCCTATGTGGAATCGACACGTGGGTAACCTTTGCGAGCTTTTCAAAAAAATAGTTTTTTAAAAGACGAGCCTTTCACTGTTGTTAACTTCTTTTTTCAAAGTTATAGGTGGCTAGTTAATTGGACAAATTTCACTACTACAATTCAATTTAAATACTAATTCCAATAACTCCTTCAAAACAATATAATAATTTCAATAATACCATCTTGAAATACAAATAGAATTCTTTAATGTTAGGATAAAAACCCACAACGTTTGGAGGTTTTGTAACATAAATGATATATTTAAAACCCGTTATAGAATTATGGCAAGTGGCAATTTATAGAATAGTTGTCGGATCATAGAATTTTAGAAGTTTGTTTGTTGAGTCTGCAGATTTATTGTTGTTGTAATAATTGTATGTCATCCTTTTCTCTAAAAAATGAATTATAATATCTAAATTATTTCTAATTCATAATATTTAAATCAATCAAATAATTATATTTAGATATATGGGCTTATCCATGATAGTTTTCTTTTAAGCATATAAATTTCTTTAATTTGAATTTGAGAGATAATCGATTACTCATGCATTATACATGAAAATTAAGAAATTAAAACTATTCAATAAAAGAATTAGCTTACCCTATTCCCATATATGATGGGGTAAAGGGAGGTAGGATAGTAGGTTACCCTCAACGCCAGGTTGAGAGCACTTTCTATGGGAGAACTCCAGCATTATGAATTGATTTTATATATATATTGTAGTTTAAATTGATCCATTTAATTCAACCAATTAAATTATTAATTGATCGACATGTCAATTTGGTTTGACATATAAAAATAAATGATTAGTGAAGCCATCAAAATATGTAAAGAAAATAAAAATCTTCAAAGTAAAACTGGAAGGTAAAAAAAATTTAACTGGAATAAGCTTGTTAACAATGGAGGAAAAGATTATTGTGGAAAATGCTCAATCTGCTATGTTCTACCTATATATTTTTATTTTTCCCACATATTTTTACGTTTTTACAATTATACTTTATACTAATACAATATGTAAATATTAAGAGTTAAATTTAAAAAAAAAGATGATCAAATTTATATAACAGATGAATATTTATTATTTATAGATAAAACTGTTAATATATTAATTTTAAAACCGGGTACCTTTAATGATAGAATTCGATTTGTTAAATGATTACTATTTCTATAATTTAGTGACCAAAATATAAACATATTAATAGATGAATGATCATGAGCGTGATTTATTCTAAAATTGTTTATAATTGACAAAAAACACACTTTTTCCCTCCAATTATCTTTCTCTGTAGTTCAGGGTAAACTAAATTTGAATAGACTAAAAAATGATCTTTTCTACTTAAATTAATTAAAAAAAATTCAATTCAAATTGACTTCGAGTTATACTTTTATAAATTTGACACGAGTAAAAAAATTCGAGTTATAAAATAGAACCAGAATTTTGAAATTATTAGTAACTAGTAGATTAGTTTTTAAGTTTTAGTCAATCCTATCGACTGATAAGTAGTTTATTAACTGATTAAACGGAGATTTTGTCTGGGTGCAGTTATGTTTTTACTTTCCTGGTAATAAAGGAATATATATTTTATAATTGAAATAACTTACTATTTTATGAAATATAACAATTAATGATTAATTTAATGAATTTTAATATATTAATAAAACAACTTTACCTAACATTTTTTTTAAGAAAAATTAGAAACAATATGTGGAATCTGATATTATTACAATTATATTCAAGTATCTCTCAAGCATTAACATGCCTGAATTCCATGTAGAGGATAAGACGACATGGGTCATTCAGAACAGTGACAAGAAAAAGAAAGTAACAAACAATAAAAACCACTTGAAACTATTAGAGAGCAATGTTCAAAAAAAGAAAAGATATTCACATTCACAGGCTTCACATCGAAAGGGTAAGGGATACATGATTGGTAAGGATCACATTCCATGGTTAAACATTAAAACCAGTGGAAGACATTTATCGGTACAACATGTTGAAAAAAATAATGCTCCTACTAAACCAAGGATAAAGGCTTAAAAGTTCAACCCTCCATGAAATTTGAATATTTAAAAAACTTTTAATTCAGTTGATAGTTAAAGAACTTCGAGATCAAAATCTGTCCATTGTTCATAATTTCATAAAGTAACATTTTATTTGATATGTTTACAATCATCAAATCATGTAAAGAAATGTGAAAGAAAGAATGAAAACGCGTTCAAACAAGATGAACTTTTTTCATGCAAGTGCGAAAGAATTCTGTGGTAGATGAATATCGATTTCTCTTGGATCTACCCTCATCACTCATTAAATGTCCATGAATCAAAATCGATTAAATTCTAGACCTTGAGGTTTAATACCCCATCAGTAGATGTAAAAGGCAATAGAAACTTGAATATAGTAACATTTGGAGGTTCAAACTATGAATTTGACCGGTGTGGACGTATTGCTTTGGAACTTGATAAAAGAAAGTAAATAAAGCGGAATATAAATAAGTTAGGTCAGCGCTAGCACAAGACCTGAAGGCCCAAAGCCCGCCTGAACTGAAATTATTGGAAGCCGCCGTACACTTTCAGAACGGTAGTTGAACTGATTTACATGGTTTTTAAAACCGGACCGGTTAGTGAATCAGTCATATTATCGGTTCACTGGTTTAACTAGTCCGATCGATCGGAAGAATCAGATGATGTTATAATTATTTAAAAATTAAATAAAAATACCAAAAATTTAATAAAAATTAATTTTTATATCACAAGTCATATTCAAAGCAAGTCATAACATATAAGTTAAAAATCATAAAATCAAGTGAAACAAAATGATTCAAATTAATTACAACATAATATTTAAGGTAAAATATATTAAATAATAAATATAATTATATAACTATAATTAAAAAATAAATTTGGGGCTAAAAAAATCATAACAAAATGATATTTGTTTGGTTTAATTTTTTTTTTAAAAACAATCTCACATGGCTAAGAAACATAGAAGAGCATCCCAAAAGTATAAAAAGTAAAAATATGAGAACAAAACAATCCCACATGGCTAAGAAACATAGAAGAACATCACAACTGACTTCTATAAATAATAGAGGTAATTTGGCATTCAAAATCATGGAGCCTTTTGGTGAGCATTGAGTGAACTATTCTTTCACTTCAATCAAGCTCGAATTTTAGGCTTCAATCGAGCTTCTAATTTTTTTTTGAGTTAAAGCATTTTTTAGTTCAAGTTTCAATATTATATTTCGAGTTTGAGTTGAACTTGATAATTTTTAGCTCGTGAGTTTGAGTTTAGCTTACTTTTAAAGTTTTCAAGTTCGAGTCGAGCTCAGCAATACTCGAATTTGACTTGGTTCGTTTAACAAACAACGTCGTTTGATTTAATTTTTTTTTAAAAAAAAACAAAATTGGCGGTTTTTTTCAATTTTTTTTGGGTTTTCCCAGTTTTCAGCCGGTCCAGTTCGAACGGTTCAACGGTTTTGACCGGTTCACTAATAACGATTCAATCGGACTAGACAATGATTTCCGGTTAGACCGATTGAACCGGTCGATCCGGTCCGATTTTCAAAACACTGCTTATTTAGCTTGAATAAATGTCCCCCAACTCCAATCAACCTTTAAACCTTCTACATTTGTTATATAAAATTACCCAATACTTTTGATTTGAGAGCCTTCTCTCGTTTAAAATTATTAGATGGACTTACCGACTACTTTATCCGTAATACTAATCAATAACATTTCTCATCTCAGTTTTTTATAAGGTGAATCTTAATTTATTTTCCACAAGTAAATAACAAGTGGATATTTATTTGAAAGTTATTTTAAAATTGATGAACGTGATTTATTGAGATTATAGATGACGTGGTGAGTCGGGACCGTAAAATAATTTATGCTCTGGTTGATTTCATGACAAATCTCATTCTTTGGCAGCTTACCAAATCATTCTTTTCATCTTCAAAGAAATGTTGACGAGCATCACATTATTCAAATCTGTAACGACCTGCATCTATATATATTGTTTCATCCCCCATTAAACGCCTTTGAAGACAAACTCATTTGATTCTTGATGGCCAAAACCAAGACAATTATCACCATTCTCCTGAAGCTTCTAGCTTTTGGTGCAACTCTTTCTGCTACAGTTGCCATGGTTACAAGCCACGACACTGCTGAGGTTTTGAACCTAAAATTATCGGCAAAATATAGCAACACCCCTGTGCATTCAAGTAAGATTTTTTTTTCTTGAGGGGACAATCACCATGTATTAAGACTCCTTTTAAGCATATTCATGATTTTTATATAAGCAATTTAATTGATAGAAATGATTTATGTTTCAGATGCAAGA